CCACACCGCCTCATCCTTGAAGGATAAAGAAAAGCACCGAACCCCTGGAGCCGAGCGCCATCGAGGAAGCAATTATTCGGGAATGGCCGCAGCGGCTGCGTGCCATTTTGAGCATGAGGAGAGACATAAGGAGTGACTAAAGGAATGAATTTGCTTCAAATCCGCAGAAACCTCGTTTCTGCGGATTTGGCATCGTTTTTTGGAACCCTCATGTTTAAAAAAAAAAAGACAGCTAAATTGTTATAGGCACATATAGGCCAACCAGGTATGAATTTCCTTCGAATTGGCCAAAAATGTTCGTTATCAAAACGGGTGACGAAAGGGAAACACCACGCCCTCTGCCATTTTGGCATGGCTGACTTTTTCACCTATCAAGTTTGCACTAGCATAGAACGTGATACAATGAGTAAAATTTCTATTGTGTCATCAAATTGTCAATGGACTCTGCAAGAAGTGGTGGTTTACCGAAAAATACCAAATCATCAAAAAATTTAATTAATTAAAAAGTTTATTAAAAAATTGTTCCAATTACCTCCAAAATTTCTTGAAATCCCTGCGAATGCCTATAAATGCTCTAAAATGTGCAGAATGTCCTCGAATTCAGTATAACACGACGAGTTAAAACACAATAGTCGAACCGAAACTTCGTGGAAAGTACTCAAATGAAGAATAGACGTAGAAATCCAGACCCCTTATACGTGTATACCCTTCTGATCATTCCCTTTCATGTCTTGAGCCGAGGATTCCCGATCCAAAGGTGCAAACTATCTAGATTACCCACGATATTCGTGGGCCTTCCAGCTCGTTTAATATATATTAGCGGCCCGATCGACTGTTGACACCTACCACTAGCATACTGATGGGATGTGATGGGAATCCTCTCTGTTTCGTGATCGCCGAAGCGGTTCGTCCACAGTATCTACAAGTATCAATGACTTCGCGGGATTTTCTCTTGGTATTCCTGGCTTGATCGACCCATGCTAAAAATCCTACCGTAGTTTTACAGTAATAAAAACATCTGGCATCCATGTTTCCATTGAAAGTCATGGAAAACCAAATGAGGAAACTTCCTAGGACTGAATACAACAAAGAAAGCTAATATTTTTTCCTTTACAGAACCATTCAGTACTCCAGGACGGACTCATCAGTAGCATCAAGGTCAGACATCGTGCGTGGATGCAATAACGCAACTCGAAATGCGATGAGTGAACTGTTTAGGTTAGACCATAAACGGATGGAAAAAGTGTGTGGGGGGGGGGGGGAGCGACATCGTTATCATGTGTACTTCTCCTTCATACTTTTACTTTTTTTTTTAAGAAGTCCCCACACCCCGACGCTAAGGCGCTTGTTGAGACAGACCTCAATTTAGAAAAAATGCTTCGTTTTTCTACCGTCGTCTGGTTCGCAAGGAGGAGAAGGTCTCCATATATAGCGAATTATTCCATTAACGAATTAGGTCTCCCTAATTCGATAATGGAATAACGATTCGGAAAAGAAAAAGGCATGGATGATCGATGATCATCGATTTATCAGAGACCGGACACGCTTTTAAGAATGAAAAAGAAAGAGAAAAAAAAATCAACTTGGAAATTTTGAAGTTCGAGTTTTGAAATCCAAGTATTTTTTTCATATTAAACCTTTCACTACTGAGGAAGAAACGCAAGTAGCATGCAACCTGATTTATTTTATACATTATACAGACAGGGTGGTCCAAAAGTCGCGATCGGATCGACTCTATTGTAAAGTAGTTCGCAAGCATTCACGTTTTTTGAATCATTCACGTTTGTTCGTACTATTTCTCCCAGATTGCACATGATTTCATGATGCCCACTCTGTCATGCCTGCTGAAATACGTCCTGCACACTCAACTTTTATTAAGAGAGTCACAACCACAGATGCAATTGCGTCGAGCTTGATGGCATCCGCACTGTCAGATTTTGCATAAATTGCATTTATTTACGTTAACAGATTAACAACATATCATATTACAGCATGCATAGTTCAACGATCAATGGTTCCCGTGCGGATAAACAATAAAGAGTGTGCAGGACATGTTCCAACATGCATGGCGTTGAGCACGAGCATCATGGATACATGCATGATCTTTGAGGATTAGTCCGAAGTAACATACCGGGATAACAAAATATTTGAAACATGAAAGTTGGCAAGCTACTTTGCAATGAAGCCAATCCGATCGTGACTTTTGGACCGCCCTGTAGTATCAAAAGTGTTTTTTATTTTATTTATTTAATTGGATGTCCTGTATTTTGAGCAAGTTAAGGATAATTTCATTTTCTGAACTCACTAAGAAACTTTTGATGCTCAAGGCACACGTTAACGTCCTAATGAAGGTTTCAGTCCTACAATAGAAGCCAGTAATAAAAGTTTTCCCTAATTTTTTGAAAAAACATTGCTAAAAATTGTCGGATTTGTTAATGTCCTGTAAATACAAAAGTTCTACAATTATTATTGTAAATACGTAATTCTACCATTTACCTTGTTTACTCAATAAGTTAATTTCCTGGCGATGACTTTGCAAGATACGAGTTTTTCTGTCGACATTTCCAGTGCATTTTAAATCGTATTCTAAGAAGAAACAACAGAGAACATCAAGATGGAGGATTCGGCATAAAATTAATCTGGATACGAGCTTCCCCTAATTTTTCTGGTAATTCTTGCAGCTGAGAGCATTTCCAGTGTACCCCCCCCCCCTTCATAATGCACTCTTAGTAACCCTGGGTGCACTACATGTGAGAAGCAGGCCTAAAACTTCCCAGTATCACTGTTCACTGAGCAACACTGCCAAGAATGAGCGGGAATTTCCGTTCACTTCGCTTCGACCATGGGAGACACCATAGAGAACCGTTTGGATGTAAACAATTGAAGGATAATCGGTGATTCTTAAGCTTGGGGAAAACATCAGTGCAGTCACATCATAGTTGTCACTTAGCGTAAGAGGACGAGGGACTTTCTGATCGTTTTTGCACTGCAGTCCGCATGTTCTCGCTCTTAGGTAATTTCATGCAAATATGTCTGGCGGAAAAGGCCTGGGAAAAGGAGGTGCCAATCGTCACCTGAAAGTTCTCCGTGGCAACATCCAAGGCATCACAAAACCAGCCATCTGCCGTCTGGCTCGTTAAACGAGGCGTCCCCGATGTTTCTCGGAAAAGTCATTCGCGGTTAGCGTCCCATCTGTCTCAGTGTGATGTTTTATTTCTTTCTATTTTATGAAATTTGAAAGGCAAGGAACCTTATGAAGTGGCCTACCTGCAGGATAAGTATCCTTTGAAAAATCTGACTGCTCAATGTACCTCTCATTCAATTGGTGAAATGTGAATATCCATTAGTTCTGTTCACCATTAATCATCACAATATTGTCAGTTCTAGGCATGCAGCTGCGCCAGTTGGAAAAATAAGCGTCAATTTGCTTTTTCTTCCACTGGCTCTGGCTCCCAGGTTCGGGCGCGAGGGAGTCAGTCCTTTCTTAGTATCGTATCGTACTCTTAGAAAAAGGGGAGTGATTTTTCTCAAAAAAGAGTGTAAAATAGCTAACTCCAGTTTCACCCCCCTTTCACTCTGCGAAAGGAGCGAATTTACTCCATCACCAAAGAGTAAAATCGCTCTCCTCCTCCGTGAGTAAAAACTCTCCCATCAGAAAGTGATAGGGATGTCATGCAATTACGAAAGTTCTCATATATACTGTGTGTCGCTTTCGCTCTCGTACAGGCGTTGACCTACCTCTGTACTGATTACAGCACAGGTCAGAGGGTGGACCACCTCTTATAGGTTCGGTGGAGTGTCCGGGATATCAGTCCCTTATTACTTCATTTAATTGAGGAGTGATTGAATGAAGTTCACGGACACTTTCTATATATTCTAGATCTTCCATGCGAATAAAATCATATGTGTTCCAAAAGGGTTCTCTATAGGAATATGAGCTTGTTTGTGGCCTGGACTCCACGAATATGTCTTTAATATGTGGATGAAGTGTCAAGGTTTTTATCGATTCCTTTAATGAGACTAGGCGAGACATATGGCAAGGTACTAAACAATCCNCGAATATGTCTTTAATATGTGGATGAAGTGTCAAGGTTTTTATCGATTCCTTTAATGAGACTAGGCGAGACATATGGCAAGGTACTAAACAATCCTGCGAGGGACGATTCCAGGGAAAGAGGGAAGGGAACTTTTGTGTACTGTGCGGAAAGCGAGACCCTTACCTCCATCTTGTGACCTGGCGAAGAACTTCAAGGTATTCGCTTCAATACGAGCGATGAGGGAGCATTTGGTGAGTAATAAGAGAGTAAATTCGAAAAGCTTACGGTGTGCTCACTTTTTACTCCCCAAACACTCGGAATTTTATAAGAGTGTAGAAACATCACAAACTTCTCATCTTTGGCAAAAGTCGTTCAAACAGTTGAACTCCGTCATAATGCAATGAAAGAGACCACAAGGAATTCGCCGTTACAGTCGAGGATCGTCGTAATCGAGGCAGCAACTCCAACACGGTTCTCGCTTCATCGCGAGAAAACTTGTAAACTCGGCTCGACCGTCGATATCGCCGGTATGTTGCCGCGGATGGAACTCGGCCGTCGTCAGGGGAAACAAACAGCATCGATTGACGACGTAAAAAATGGGCAATCGCACAGTGGCGTAGAGAGGGGAGTGAGGGAGGGGGGGGGACAGTTGCCCCTGGGCGCAGGGCTGAGGGGGGAGCAAACTTTATTTGGAGTCCAAATAAAGTCCAAACAAAAACGTAATTTTCGGTCACTGAGTTTGCGCCCCCCTCAGCCCTGCGCCTGGGGGCAACTGTCCCCCCCTGCCCTCCCCCTCGCTACGCCTCTGCAATCGCATTCACCCAATTTACTGTGGGATAGCACTTACATTCCATACGTTACACTTCTAGTATTACGTCTGCATTCTAGCATTCGCATGGTGAATTATATATATATTTTTTTTACTAAATCCCAGATCATGAATATAGCTAACAATATATTTATATTCACATCATCCACGATACTGGAATAACAAACTTTGTATATAAAAGGAGAAAGGCAAGATAACCGCAGGTCCGGTCCCGCAGCCAAAAACCTATTGTGTTCCAAGGATAAAAATCATTGGAATGACGTCACAGATAACCTTCGTCGTCCAGCTGCTCCTCGTTGTTCTTGCCTTTCTCGAACGAATCAGCGGAATTCATTCGAAGCTGCACGTCTCTCTCTTCCTGCATTTCCAATTTCAAAAATTTTTGGAGTTAAAAATAAATTTTAAATATTAAACAAATAATTTTAAGAATCGAAAATGAATGAACAATATTAATAGATAATTTCATGAATTAAAGCAAATTTATAATATTAAATGTAAAATACAATAATGCAAAATTAATTCATAGATAATAATTTAAAAAATGCTCCCAACGCCTCCCTCTTCGCCCACCTTGACGACGACGGTGCGAAGATACCGCGTGTCGAAGAGGCACCCCTTGCCGGCAGGGAGCTCCGCGTCGTGGTACACCCCCCGGACGATCAGCGTGTTCCCGCAGTACATGAGGATCGTGATCACCAGGGCCATCGAGTGAGTGATGATGTTGCTCAGGGCGGGATCATCTGCCGGTTCCACGATTCAATCCAGATTCGAACCGTTCGAGGGAAAACAAGGGCTACCAAAAGCTACTTTTTTGTAGGCGATATATATGCCTACTGTAGATGTAGATAAAGAATTATAGATAAATTATAAGATTATATTTTAAAGTATATTTAGTGCATAAATTGAAGTTTCAGAGTTCTTCTTCAGCTAATTTCTTTTTCTAAATTCAGGGTCTTTCGTGAAATATCTTGACATTCCCTTTGGATATGCCCACAAACGGACCGCACTCATTCTAAAACAGACATTTTCGAATGCAGGAGCCTTTAAAAAAGTGACAGCCTATGTGCACGGTGTTTTCGTCGAACACCTAGCAGAAGGGGAATCATGCATGGGACTTCAATTAAATAATATCTCTAATTACTCTTATGTTTTTTCCTTACAGGAGGGCCCGAATTGAGCTTTCCTTTTTGAATGACTAGAGGAAAGTGGGACGGTCCTCTTTTCGTTCTCAGTGGCACACGATCGCCGTACGCATATACCGTAACGATTCTAAAAATGAAAGCAAAAAACTTTAATGAAAATCTTCAAACGTGATAAGGCCCAATTGCATTTTTAAAAAATCGAAGGGTGGATTTTTGAACAGAGAACTATCCGATAAGGCAGCTTTATTCCAGGGAAAATACATGATATTTCCTGTAAATAAAGCAGCAATGTCGGATAGTTTTCTGTTCAAAAATCCACCCTAACTGTCCCATTCTCCCTCTACAGAGCAAAAAATTAATGAATAACATTTCCCTTTGGTCTATTTCGTAATACCAGGCAAGAGGTAGGCGTCGAGAGTCATCCAAACCCCTCTCCAGATGTTGAGGGCCCCAAAGAAATTCCAAACGCTGAAGATATCCTCGATCACGTGCTTCCGGACCCCCATCGACGCCAGCGACATATGAGAGACCGGGACCTGAACGCAGAACGCCACCAGCGTCACCCCGTACCCCACCGCCTGCAGGTGGGGTCTGCATGAGCCACGGCCCGAGACGGAAGAGGACGCAAAGAGAACGCAAAAGGACGCAGAGTGTGCATACCAGGGAGAGCCAGGCCGTGCATCTGTCGCAGCCGGGGTAGAAGACGGCGTCGAGGATCTCCCATCCTCCTCTCCATACGAAAACGACCAGGGATTCCGGGACGACCACGCTGAACACGCAATCCAGAATGTATCCGTAGTCGAAGTGCCCGGCCCACTGCGGGACCGAATCCAATCGAACATCAAACGACTGTCGACAGAAAGAGCTCGAAAACGGGAAAAAGAATGTCAATTCTCTCTACTCGGCCCGGAACTACCACGACTCAGGACGTGGTGAAATTTCACACCCGCATCAGGGATAGACAGATAAGAGGATCAATGGAGTGGTGTTTCGATTCGAAAGCCGTGCCTTTGAGAACTGAAGAGCCGAGATTAGCTCGAGAGACATGGGTAGATTAAGTCGAGGACAGGAGAGACGACATTCTGAAGAAGGCAAACGAGATGTGCATGAATACCCACTAACATTGATATAACCCGAATAAGTAGTTAGTTCGAGCCTGTCATTCAACATTCACAGGTCCCATCATTTCCATGTCATCTCTCTTGGCAACGACTTTCTTAGATCCTCGGTCTTCCCAATATCTCTAATTTACTTCTTATTTCTAGAGAGCTACGAACTGACTTTCTGCCGGAACTGGGTGGGAGAGACGAAGAATCGCTCCGGAAGATCCAGTTTGACGAAGAACGGCGGCGCCCCGATGTTGACGATCGACCTGAGCGCCCCGAGCCCCACGAGCCCCACCACAACGCTGACCGTCGCCGACTGCCACCCCGTCCCCGTGTAGTAATCGAGGAGCTTCCACGTCCCCCGCCAGTGACTGACCGTCCCAAACGCGTACACGGCAGTGTACACCCTCGACAGCACCGCGAACACCGGCCAGGGACTCTTCTGCGCCAGGTACAGGTCCAGATGGTGCTGCGACAGGTACGCCGTCAGCGGCACCAGCAGCCCCACTCCCAGCGACACCCACGCACTCGATCCCTCAGACTCCGGCATGAGATACGCGTCCATCACCTGCCACGTCCCCCTCCAGTAGAACACCACCATCGGTCCGATGAGGAAGATGCTGAGGGCCGCATCCAGAAGCGCTATGCATTTCGCATCCCTCATCTTCTCGCAAGGCAACGCACTCTCCCCCGCGCTCACACACGGACAGACACTTGCATGCCTCCGGTTTGTTTATGAAATGCGAGTCGGCGGTCCGATCGTGCGCAAGTCGAATGGGGGACTCTCGACTGGAGCGACCTTTCCTCCCCCTTTTTTTCTTTAAACACCCTCCGTTATTGTCTTCCAATTGAACGAATTCACTTGACAGCCCCTAAATTGGCGTGAAGGGTAATTCAGCGGGCCCGGAACCATCGTTTCGTCTGCGACGAGGAGCCTCTATAGGACCCTCATGCGTGCGACACCGAATGCGGAACGCGATGGATTCGATACCCTCGGGTGCAACATTTCGCATAATAAAGAATCATCGCGGCGAAGAGATTCGACCGAGAGAGAGCCGCGATCGAAGCGAATGAATCACGAGACTGCAGTCTCGTGATGATGGAGTCTTTCAAGTCCCTTGACGTGAGGGACTCATTCCACTCAAAGGAGTCCGGGTGGCAATGGGGAAGGAGATGCGGCCTTTTCAAAGACGATAGGTCGGGGAAAGAGGGGAAGAGGGGGCATGGAGGGGCACGTACCCATTACGAGTCGCTCGATGCCTCGACGTAACGGTATCGAAAAAAGACTCAGAAAAAGATAATCGACTCCAGTATTTCTACACGAACAGTTTGGGCAGTTTGGGTGTTAAAATCCATGAGCTTCTGGGGAAACGGGGAATCGGTTCGGGTGTCATCGGGATAACGGAGAATTGGGGGAATTTTTACATCGTGGGTGAGGAATTTCACATTCGGGGATTCCACAGTTTCCTAGAAACGAGCCGAAAGCATGAGGGAGGCTCTCACTTCAGTTAATCGGTCGATCGAACATTTATTATGTGAGATCGGTGGGAGGAAAGGGAAAGGTCGCATAAGCATTCTGGCATTCGAATTGGCATTTCTGGTCGGTTCTCCGACCAGAAATGCCGATTTTTTCCCACTTAGCTGTCGAAATAAAAATGACGACCTAGCCCGTCATGCTCAAGTTCGAGATAAACTGGGGAACTCGGATCGTTGCGCGATCACGTAAGCTATGAAACGGACGGACGCGACAAAGGTTACATATGACCATAGGAAAACAAGACGAAGGAACGCATCCTAGAATTTCTCTCGGGTATCTCCGGCTCGTTCGTGAGTCATTTACATTTACATTCAAATCTGAAATTTTGTCAAAGGAACCAATTCCTTCTTGCAGAATAATGCTGCAGCAACTACTGCAACTCGTTCCTCATACGCACGAAGCATCATTTCCCCTTCCCGACTCTTTTTGTTGCAGGAAAGGGCGCCTACTTCAGAACCAGCAACACCTCCCCCCCCCCCCCCCCCCCCCCCCCCCCAGTACTCAGCGAACACAGAACACCCACTCGCCCGTTCACCCAACCAAAGAACCCAACGACACCCACAGACCGACGACCCACGCTCCCACGCCGACGACACGCGAAAGACGGCGGAGGATAACACCCAGAACAGCCCCGCCGGGTGTCGTGCCTGTCCTTTTAACAATAACAAAGCGGGTGGATCCGGAGCGTCTCGCCGCCCTACATCTTGCAGCCTTCGTTTCTCGGTCCACAAATTGATTCATCTGTTGCAAAACAAAAGTAAAAGGTGTCTCCAAGTTCTTTTGCAAATCGCTCCGAAAGAATAATCTCGTACTTCTGCCAGATTGAACTCGAGTGAGATCCACAGACTGAGAGGAACCATACAGTATTGCTATCGACCGACGCCCGAGTCCCCAGAAAAATGAAAAAAAAAAATCGATACAAAAGTCACTTTCTAACAGTGTTGCGCTAAAAAAACAAAAAAAAACCAAGATCCCTCTTGTAATTACGAATCACTGCGGGGATTAAAAAAGTATCATTCGCGAAACGTTCAGTATTTAAATTTTGAAATTGCTGCCAAACGAAAGTTCACCTTTCAAAGCTTTTAGTATAAATAATTTATTTCACATCTGTATCGACGAAGTGATCACCGCAAGCGATTCGGCGACGGCGCAGGAAAAATCTCAGTGCGTACTGCGGTTGGCGGATTTTATATCACTTATTTGTGGGTAACGTGAGTTTCACCTTGTGATCAGAATATAACATAATGCAGCATAAAAATGTAAAATAAAAATAGGTGCAATCCACCGGAAGAGTGTTAGGGAAACTACTTCAACGAAGTAATCTGTTACTGATTAGGTTAAGAGTAACTGTATCTTTTATTGTAATCAGATTTCTCCTTAAAAATGTAACATGTATTCAGATGGCTCTTGAATAATGTTTCTGCTAAATTGTGCCAATCGGGAGGAGGTAAAGCCAAATTCGACACTAAGAGGGGAGAGCGAGGAGAGGGGAGCGGGATATAAAAGCAAACTCGTGATCGTAATGTGTTTAATTTAGGGTTGTACCAATGTATCGACAACCACTGGTATCGGTTGCTGGTATGGCGCCATCGGCCGGTTTGCAAGCTGCCGGTGCCGATGTTCAAAGCAGACCGTGCAGAACGAAGAAGAAGAAAAAAACATGAACGGGACTTGACAACTGATTCTCAAGGGCAATAGGAAAAAATTATGGTTGTCCCAATGCATCCATCGATTAATGGAGGTCATTTTTTTATAGTTGCAGGCATGGTAGGCCATTCACTTCCCCCTACCCCCTGCACTTCCTGATCGCAGGCGAGAGATTATGGAAGGATAGAGCCCCGATCGAGGAGAGAAACGACGAAGTCAAACCTCCGCCAGATCGCAGCGAGAAAAGAATGAATCTGCCGGCACCCCCCACTCCCCGGGTGCATCGATGCACTCTCGATAATTCAGGTCGATACTTCGATGTTTTCGAAACACTCAATGTGACAGCACTAAAAAATCAAATATGGCTTCCAAATAAATATTTGATATAACAGTTTTTCGCTGTTTCTCTATACGCCACAATAAGCACCAGCACAGGCCGATATGCATGAGATAATAATCAGCCATCGGCCAAATATGACCGTCGGTATAGTCCTATAAAGTTTTAATTCAATTGACTTCAAGGCTGAATATTTATTGCAATGAAAATGCAATCTTCTGAGCTTAAGTTTCTGTCAGAGGAGAGAAAACTATCAAATTTCTATACACATTGACATGGGCTATATCAAGTTACTTGCGCATTCATCTGAAATAAAGGTATATTTTCACAAGTTTCGATATTTTCACAAGTTTCGGATTTCGTGATGTGAGGAGTCAGGAGAGTTAGTGATATCAAGAGGCGATTTCGCCCATATCGATATCACGTGTCGAGGTCGAGCGTTCCTTNTTGCTTCCTGAGGTTTCTCTGATTTATCAATCTCTTGTTTCTTCTCTTTTTTCTTCTTTTTCTCATCCCCACCAGATCGCTCCCCTGTTGTAGCCTTTGGGGCAGTAGGAGTTTTGGTACTCTGGGGTGTATCTACCTGCTGCTTAGCTGGGGGTGTTTTGGTGTTTTCATCTGTTGATGTTTTCAACACAGCAGCAGGTAAAGGCCCAATACCTAGTTCAGATCCTACTTTCCCTTTCATCGCCTTCACTTGCTGTTTCAAAGCCTCATTCTCTTCCTTCAGTCTCTGAATCTCCTTCTCAGCAAGAATACGCCCCAGTGCAACGACCTGAAGAAAGACATTGTACTAATTATGGCTTAGCACTGTTGTCACCATAAACTTATACACACAGGAATGGAACAGTCCCTGGATTACAACAGAAACCAATCCCAGTAATTACCAACCATGCCATTAGAACAGGATTTCTTGTTTTCATTTCCCTCCTCCAATACTATTCAAATTTAAGCTGACATCAATCTTTTAACAACTGTGTCTGAATATACCATGTTAGTTTCTTTAAAGAGTGTATATAAAAATGCAGAATCATAAAGATTAACATTACATCAATAAGGAACAATAATAGGGATAGAACAAACGGNTTGACTGACCTGCTGCCTTTTTGGAACTCTGAGAAAGAGAAGCCAAAACAACACCTAATTCTGCATTATGGTTTCATGTTTTTATAGGCTGAAATATGAATGAAACTAGCTTGAAGAGCTTGAAAGATTGACCACATCAGCCATATGTACTTGGAAGAATAAGGAAGAGTGACAGATGGAAAGAACAAACAGAACAGTCTTATGTGTTAAAAGTGGCCAAACAAACTACATTCTTACATGAAAAAATGTGTCTGGAGATACATGAGCATGTCAAGGGATGGATGAAAGACAACTTCAAAAGAATGTAGGCACAGACAGCAAAGAATAGATAAAAGTAAATAAAATAGGTATCACCTTCCTTGTTTTCTGTTATGGTTTTTTCTGGGAGATGACACCTGGCAGAATCCACTAGTGGCAAAATGCTTCACACCTTTCCCTGATTTGTATGCATTGCATAATCTTTCACACCCTTCATGTGATGAGAGGGTAGGAGGGAGTATAAAACATTATTTATGAATTAATTTGAAAGATTTACCACTAGCACAGTAAGTTTTTTAAGTAAATATTTTAATATTTTGCCACTAGCAATTTGCAGCTGGTATAAAAGTCATGGGGAAACACTGTAGATATGCTTGGGTCTTGGTACTTTTATCCCACCATTCACAATTTATGCCAATGCCAGTTATAGATTAAATCAGTGATGCAAAACCCATGCCCTGCAGGCAAAAAGTAGCCAGCGAGGCCCTAACTCACAATACCCTCAGGTTTCCTAAAATAGTCTCCTACAATACTAGTGACTTAATATGGCCCACGATGGTTGTGGTAGTGAGCTAGGTGGCCCCCTAGTCGAAAAGGTTGGGCACCACTGGATTAAATTAATGTAAATAGGCAATGCAAAAATGACAAAAATTATGACTTGCACTGATCATAATTAGTGGAGATGGTATCATCCATTTTTCACAAGACAATCAAAATGAGGATGGAAGCACTTCCAAACTATTGGTAGGATTGTTCAATTTTTGCCACTGAAAGATGCAGTGCCACTTCAGATAAAATCAAAAGCAATTTGCAGGATAGTTCATGAATATGAGACTTAAAGCTGCTCCTTGACTTGTTATAGGAGGTTGCTTAGAAGTATTCATAACAAAGCTTATGATTCTACATTTCAATTTTGGGCTCATGAGACTGTTCATACCTTTTGTTTGAAACCATGGACTAGTAAAAGTATGTGGAGAAGAACTGATTCAAGATTGGATACTTTTTTTCTGGATGTGGATTGACTGAAATATCCCAGGTTTACTGTAATCATAGAATAAGGAAAGATGAAACGATGAAAGAAAACTCTCATATATATACTCTCTTTTCATAAGTTTCCTATTTTAATCTTTCAACTTTGAAATAAAGCAAGAGAATCATCATGAGAAAAAGTAGAAAGAAATTCCTTTTCTATGGGATGCATGGTTCCTGGGATCACCAATGAGTGTAAAGGAGCACCAAGTTCTTCATTCACCATAGTTGATAATGAGCAGGCAAGAATTCGCTGGTCTGGATGACCAACTCGGGCAAGTCCCACACACAAGTCTTCTGATGTTAACCCCTTGTCTCCTATATATTGCACCAAAACATGACATTCAAGCTATGAAAGTGCATCAACAAGACCCTGTGGATAATGTGATGTCTGCCGTGAAACCAAATTATTATTTTTATTATTACCTGATTTTGTCCTCTTCTCCACAATTGCCAGGAGTTGTGTTGCTGCCTGAGCACAGGTCATATATCTGGGTGGCTCATACACTTTCTTCCCTTTCATAAGATTTTCAATGGACTGCTCTTTGACCTTGATGTCTTTTGGGGAGAATAACAGGACACACATTCACAACTATGAATTCACCTAGAACTACAGAGAACAACAGGCCTATTCAAATGTGCAAGTTGATGCTACTCATTGCTTATAAATCATCCAACAATGACTCCCTATGGCTAATTTTCATTTTCTTCAGCAATGCAATCCTCCTTCAAGATAATGAAACTGTAGTGATATAGGTGCTGTGAATAACTACAGGGTGTCCATGCTAAAGTCAAATACTGTAGGAAATTATCTCCCAACAAGCACAAACAGAGTTAAGAAATTATTCATTGCTACAACAACTACAACAGCAATCGCTCAAAGAGGTGGACTTTAGGTTTCCAGGAAAGAAATGAGGAACAAAAAAATGGTTATGTCTGACCACCAAGAGTTATGTTTAACCCAAAAGTTTCTGAAAGGAAATTTATGATGGAAGAAGCAGGGAGATGTCTTTGCCTGCAAATTTAGGAAACATTCATGATGCTTCATGCACTTCAAATCCCCTTATAAATTTTCTTTTCCTGATGATTCAGTAGCCAGCAAATACCATGAATAATCTTGGTCAGTAGTAGGCCAACTATGGATATGCATTATACATGAGATTTATATTTATAGCTCTTGTTTTCCCTAATTTAAAAAGACCTCTAAAAAAATGCAGTCCCATAGTTTGAACTATAAGTGATTAGAATCAACTTGCTCAAATGCATAATCATTAATTTGTATCACAAGAAATTATTGGTACTGTACCCAATAGGCAGAGTGTATGAAGACCTCTGGACTTGTTCTCCATAATTTTGTCAAAGAAGCTCTCAGGGGTCCAACTCTCTGTCCAGAAAGGTATTGACACTGTTTCTCCAAAGCTGTACAACTGAATTTATGACAGTATTGCAGATGATCACAAAAAAATTTGAGATTTCATTATTTCATTTACAGCAGATCTGCTCACTTGTAGGCCACAGCAACCAACAGCATTCATGATGGAGGCATTGTGAATCACTTGGCATGGTATTCCTTTTTGTTTGAGCCTGAGGACAAGATCTGTATGAGTGGTAGCCCCAAAGGGATCTCCTACAACCAAAAGGGCAATGTCATCCTCTTCTGCTCCTTCCATCAGTTCCTCTGATCCTGATTCTACACACTCTCGGTCAGCCATTAACACTTTCCGTCCATAAAACTGCTCCTGCAACAATGAGTCATCTTTCTCAAAAGATAGTTTCATCAAGTTAGATGAGGTCAAAAAAGTTTCCTTACCAGTTCCAATACATCAACACCAAGTATGGATGTGTAGGCTTCCAGGTACACACATTTTGCCCTTTTTACAACATCTAGACCTTTGACAGAGATGTCTCTGGCATCCCCAAGGCCAAGTCCAATAAGGTAAAATACCATCTCTCTGTAATATGGCTCAATACTTCCCTGGGGTTACTCCAAAATATTAATTGTTTTAATATGCATACCACTTTCATGGATCTGTCAAAAGAAAAAAAAGGATGGTTGCCAACTGTTGTATATTTCACAGGATGTCCTATTTTCATGCAATTTTTGATTGCAGAAAAGCAGAAAAAGACAGAGGCAGATTTCCATAGCCAGTATGCAAGCAATTAATATTCATCACTAACACTGCAGCTGCATAGGGCATGCATATGCTCTCTGTGCTCATTAAGTTTAGTATCTATGTTTACTCAGTGTATTGTGGTCCTCATTAGGCATACCAATCAAGTTTTCAGTAAATATTACCAGAGTAATGGTCTCTATGTCATGGGTAAAAGTCTCATCTTAATGCCTTTTTTGTCTGAATGGATAGACAGATTGGGAGAAAAAACATTTCATAGATTGATAGACAGATTGGGATAAAACACTTCATTCTGAAAGAGCAGCAGGGAAGAGGGGCAGGGCAGGAGACACAATACAGCTCCCTTAGCATCTTTTAGATACAGTGCTTTCAGAATGAATTTTCAAACCATTAATATGGAATGGCACAGAAATCGAATTGACATGCAAGAGCAAAACATGAAGTTAAGTCAATACAGTGTTTTCACAATGAGTTCATGCACCTCCCCATAAGGGCACTGACATTACTGGTGTTTTGACTCAAGGGAAATCTACCAAATACCAGTTCATGTTATACCAGACAGGGCAAAACATTAGTTCCACTTTTGTCAAGCAGGCCCATTAAAAATAAATAAGGCTTATAATAAAAGGGCAAGTGAACTCATTGCTAAAACACTGTAGGCCCAGGTAATTATTCACAGCAACCTGACAAAGATACTTTAAAAAAAGAAATGCAATCTCTACTATCTTTAGATTAGCCCAGAGTAAACGACTGATTCATGGTCCAAGACAAATGTCAACACACAGGGTAGAGAATTTGCCTCTAATAGAAAGTGATATGTTGAGCAGCTTATATGTTTTATTGCAAAGGGGGCCACTGGTGCTAGGCACATATTACCAATGTGCTTTAAAAAAAAGTATGTTGTTTCAGGTTAGATGCCCACCTCAGCCATGTCATTCCTTTAAGCAAGGGTAGACGATTGCAAGATGTTAAGTCAAGGAACATTTATTGAGTGTCAACAGAAGGACTTGGGAATATATACTATCCTTACACGTAAATGTCTAACATTTGCAAGTTATGCATTCAGTAGAGCCATGAAGAATGGAATTCCATCTTTGCATGATCCCAGTTTTCAGGAAGAAAACCATGGGAAGAAAAAGTTATAATGCAAGCAGCATCTATGGATCCAAGCCTTAGGAGAGCTGACCTAATGGAGTACAGTAACCTGACGAACTAGTACTGGGCTAGATATGTTCTATATATGCTAGATATACCCCTCTCCAACTCCACCTACCCACGAACAGAAACACGTGGTTGGTTGAAAATGGGAATCGGATCAGTCATCTAAAAATTTCATCCGGTGCACTTTGTTGTGAACCTCAAAAACTAAGGAAATCTCAGTTGGGCGAGGCAAAGGTTAGGCGCCATCACCAAGCCCATTCCCAATCGAACACGTGAAACAACACTTGTACTAACGCGTGGAAGGCACATGCTTTCGGTAAGCCAGAAGACATGATCGATCGAATCTGGCATGGGATTGGTTGGTTGAGGCGATGGCAGACGAAGAGGTGACTCATCTGATTGGTCGCGAAAAGAATGAGGCGAACTTTCCTTCCGTAGTCCTGCGCAGAAATTCTGTGCAGGCACACCAGTCAGTGGGTAGAAGTGCGCGACCGACGACACACTTCAATTTGTTATTGTACTGCAGCTCGCATTCAGAGGTAGGCAAGCCTCCAGGTGTATGCTTAAACTACACTAATTAGTATGCCTAGGGGTGTCTTTATATTTTGCTCTACGGGTGTAGTAGGCCAATTAATTTGCCTTGGCAGGGACGCTTTTGTTAACAGTTTAATTTCAGCATGTCCCAAGCTGACGTACAACATACACAGAGGCTAGCTTCATGGAGTGGGAAGGCATTCTCTATCTAATTACTTGAAAGATGCTGTATGAAAGGACATAAGAGCAAGGCGCCTTTTCTTGTAGCAATAAACCTTTCAACTTCTAACACCAACTAGACTTCATACAGTAACTTTATTAGTCTCAGTTCTAGCAACCAGGAAATGGAAAGGGTGTTGGTAAGACTTGAACTCTGACCTGCCGTCATCTCACCACTTTGGATACCTCTGGCAATGAAGGTAGTAATTTCCCTGCTCATACCCACTCAACAAAGGCATTAATGTTTCCACAGTCCTGGGAGCCTAAGACAGGAACAGAGCTTTCTGGAACCAGGGAGACAGCCATCATTAGCAAAAAAAATAATATTTTTTTTTTTAGGAAAAAGTCTCTGGAAATAATAATTTCTAGTGTTCTTCATTGCATTTTGCATTTTATTCTTATAGAATATGATGTGTTATACATGATCATAGAATATAATCAACTACAGAGGGAAATCATGAATGTCAGTCCTCACCACATAAGATCTATCACCAGCCTGTCATTACTGTTGTCAGGAAATTGCAATTATTGTTTGATGTTTTAAGTGCATTTGGTGCATGAGTTCCTCAAAGGAAAAAGTGTTTCATTGCTTCCAGAATATTTCCTTCAGAAATTATAAAGCCAACCCTTGCAAGCCTAACTACTAACACCCAAGATGGCAAGAAGAGCTCCAGGAACTATGGAGTGGTAGATATAAACAAAACAAAAAAACCACCATCTCTTCTTCCTTCATCATAAGCTTCTTTACTTTGTTTGAGGGTGAATGATGTAGTTCATTGAACTTTCCACTTTTCACGTGAAGGAATCAAATTAGTCAAAAAAAAGATATGAACTTGATCAAAAAGTAACTTTGGATCTCATGTAAAGCTCCAAGTAGGCTAATTTATCTAATTTTTGTTCTCAGGTAATTTCAACCAAAGATGTCTGGACGTGGCAAGGGAGGGAAAGGTCTGGGAAAAGGAGGTGCCAAGCGCCATCGTAAAGTTCTCCGTGACAACATCCAAGGCATCACAAAGCCAGCCATCCGCCGCCTGGCTCGCCGTGGTGGAGTCAAGCGAATCTCTGGTCTCATCTATGAGGAGACCAGAGGTGTCCTGAAGGTGTTCCTCGAAAACGTCATTCGAGATGCTGTCACATACACAGAGCATGCCAAGAGGAAGACCGTCACTGCTATGGATGTTGTCTACGCTCTCAAGCGCCAGGGCCGTACTCTCTATGGTTTTGGTGGCTAGACTCCATCTTTCTATCTCCTTTTTTGTGTGGAATTTTGCCTCTCTAATTTTCTCCATTTGTGAATTAGGAAAGGGGAATCTTTCAGTTTGGCTTACCAGTATGTTAAGTAACTCTCACTGAAAATCTGAATGTTCACTCATTCCATTCATTCCATTTGAGAATAAAGATAATTCATCTGTCCAATTAGTCACAACTTTCTTGCCAGCCCATCACATGCAGCCATGCCAGTTGGCCAGAAGAACAAAACGCATTTGTAAATGTGCTTCCCCTTTTTATTCTCATTCCAATTTGTCATTTCCATGGTACAATTGCATGATATGGGTTGGGTGTGAAGTGTCTTATCATTTTTACTCTTGTAAGATGTCTATGAATGAGGATTAAATGTGCCATTGAACTCTGGTATCACTTATGAGAGAAGTAATGGTCATTGTCTTATGGACTGGGTGTCTCACATGTAGAGCTTAATCTGCTTTGTTAAAGAATAATTATTGGTAATAAACAGAGACACAAAGAAATGATTGGTCACCTTACTGCTTAAGAAATACCCTCAGATTGAAATATTGATAAACAAAATGAAGATGCCTGTTGGTGGAGCCCCTCATAGCACTTTTTCAACACTTTTTTTGTAAGAGATTCATGCTGAGCTACATCTTTGATTCTGTTGAGAAAGCAAGAAGCTTAAATGAAGGAAATTATACTTCTCAAAAAACTCTAAGTAAAACAAAAGAAAATGAATAAACAACTGTGTAATTTAAAAAAATATTGATCAGATATAATTTTCGCCATATAACTATTCCAAAAATGGCAAGTAAATATTTTTCCCAGTCAGTGAATTACCTGAAAAAATCTTCACTGGCTGCCGAAAGGCAAAGGGATCAATAGAGAAATGAACAACAGGAAGGGAGTAAATCCTGTTTTGACCTTGAGGCCCAATTCCAGCCTTGTCTTATCTGAAGTTAGAAAATTTATGTGTGAATGAAGAAGGAAATGAAGCAGCTGTGAATGCAGTGGAGCACCATTACTGATTTGAACTGCATTTGAGTACTCTCCTCCCATGCTCTGCCTTGAAGCTGTACTCCTGCATCTCTATAGTCACAAGTTAGCATTGTGGTCTTCAAACTATGGGCCACATTCAGCCTGTGAAGGCATGGAGCTCATGAGAACAAAGTGTACATTCTTGAGTAGAATGTTTCTATTTGTAAATGTTTTTTTGGCATCCCACACAAAATAGGGTCACATCTGGAATGCCACTAAGCATGAAAGAGATGTGACTCAGTTGAAGGGGAGCTGCTTCAGTCAGGCTGTAGTCACTTCAGGTGGCCCTGCAGAATTTAGCAATGTTGGCTTTAGCTTGGCCAGGCAGGAGTCCCACAAATTGTCAGTTTTCACCACTAGGAGAGAGGATTCATATAGCATTTCAGAATACCAAATTATCAATAGTTGATCACTTATGTTAACCAAAATGATTCCATGCAAACCAGCCAGGTTTACATAGTTTCCCCCCATTAAGCATCTATTAATCCCTTCACCAGCGAGTTCTGAGATACAAAAGGAAGTCAGCCTGAGAATTTTCTGGGTCTGTTGGTGAAGGAGTTAAGGTTCTTCAATATGTGTTCAAAATCAAGGGTGATTCAGAGTAGCTAATCATCTAGATTTCTAGCATGTAAGTAGCATTCATGTACTATTCTCATTATTTTGAGCAGATGGGATCCTTGAGGAGAGTGGTACTTTTGTTTCATGCCAGAACAAGTTTTAAGAGTCCTCTCTGGAACATCCCCAATTGTGTAATATCCAGGACTTACTGCAGTCAAGAGAATAGAGCCATGCAAATCGTGAGGAAGATTGGAGAGATTGGAAAAATCCCCAACATTTTGTTAAACCCAATTCAGGTATCAAACATGGAGTCTCTGGTTCATCTATTTTTGGAGAGAGGACTAAGAGAGGACAAAATCACTGTTGCTCTCAAGGACATGTACACCATACCAATCCGAGGCCTTCATCACTGGCGGGAGATCATGGATGATCTGAACTCCCAGGGTATCAGTAGTCACGTGGCCCTAGACATGCTGCGGCGTTACCCATTGCTACTGGATGTGCAGAGTCATTCTGTGCAGAAAGTGTATGCTGTGCTCAGTCGTCTGTCAAAGGTTAACCCAGATACTTTTATCAAGAACTACCCAGCAGTTTTGTCTTTTGAACCTGAACGTCTTGATGCAGTGCTGAGAACTTTCCTGACTGTGTTTCCACCAAAGTCTTTCATGGAACTTTTGGTAAATAACCCCAACATCATGTGGGAGGATATAGATGTACTGGATGCCAAAATCCAGTACATCCACCAAGAGATGGGTCTCGAACAAAGTTGTATCGCTGAGAGTTGTGCTCTCACCCTTCCACTGGAGACTATCTGCTTCCGACACATCATAGCTGAGAGGACTGGAATTTACAAGAGGCCCAAACCAAAGGAGTTTCAGAATGAGAAGTATAAACCAACAGTGAGCTTGAGGCACATTATGGATGTTGATGAGAAGTACTTCATTCGCAAAGTGCTAGGCATCTCAAAAGAAGAGTATCAGGCCTTCAAAGACATTCTTCAAGAGGAAAAAAATCTTCAAGATGATCTGGATGAAGAGACGGATGATGAAGAGAGAGCTCTATCCTATCGACACAAAACAAAGTGATCTCATCGAAAATATATATTCTTTTTTCTGCAGCACTTCAAACTAAAAAATGCATTGATAACAATGAGAAATTGATTCCTTAACAAGATAGTCAGAAAAAAAACTCCAATTAGACAGAGTGCACAGTGTCCTGCTCCATTGAAGAACCAAGTGCTTGTGCACTGACCTTAAGAAGGGGTTCCAACAATGCATTGAGGAGGTACTGTTTCAGATCTAACAGGTACCTTGATTTTGTAACAGCTTGGTCAATAATCACAGATTGCAGTGGTCGCTGTTCCCATCCATCAGCATTTATTTGCACCTGCATAGAGTAAAAATGTATAAAATCACAACACATTTTTTTTTACATGCACAAAGGAGCCAGAAGATGGACTCACTGCCTCTCGATATTCCTTGAGCAAGTAGTCTGAAATACATGTTTCAAGCCTACAAACAGACGACAATGAATGTCCAGCCCAGCGACATCTTAGGTACAAATCTGCAACCTATCAGAGAGTCATGTATGATTTTAAAAAATCCCTTTGTAATTAATTACTTATGACTTCCATTCCCTCATAAGCACACTCCCAACTAGCCAGAAACATTATTCTTTTTCCACCCATTATACCATCCCTTTTCAAGAAAACTTATGGAAATATCCCAAAGCTTTAAGTTATCACCAGCAAGCACAATGTCATCTTCAGTATCAAAATCTCATTTGTTAACATATTGAGGGTTTCATATGACAAAGAAGCCAGTGAAGGGTTCTAGTCCAGCTACCACTTACAAACATAAATAATTATAAAAACCTGTGTTTCTACCATACTGAAAATAGTAGCCATTAAGTTGTCCATTTACATGTAAAGGTATACAGGAAAAATTAAGATTTAACTTTCCATTCCTCAACATAAATTTTATAATTATCTCCTTAAGTCACCGACAAAAAAGAGTTGAAACTATACATGAATGCATATAACTTCAAAAAGAGAGAAGTGATTTCTTGAACAAAAAAGCTTGCTTTGAAATCATATTAAATACATTTGGAGGTAAGGTTTTGTTTTGTAATATATCTTCAAGATAAAATGTGGGAAAACCAAAAAATTGCTCGCCTTGAAAGGCAGAAATTCAAACAATATACTTGCCAAATTTCAGCTTTCCATCTCAAAAACCAACAAAGGAAAAAAGAAACAGCATAAATGAAATGGGAGGATAACAAGAGGTTTTTTTTTTCTGAGGAATGCACCATTTCTGAAGCCCACAACTAGGGATAAATGTTCCAAATATTAATATTCTTCCCATTTCAGCAGCTTCTCCATGTATGTGTATATGTTTTTACCACATTCCAAAAATTAATTTTTTTCCATTTTCCAGGGTTTTGAACCTCCCTGACTAGGGAGCAGTTTTCCCCTGAATTATGAAATTATGAAAAAAATAGTGACAACCTGAGTGTCAAAGACATTCTTCATAGTCACTCCATAGGAGTGAAGGAGGTAATCAGATGCTTGTCTGGAATCATGCAAAACCTTGATGATCCCCACATTTTCCAGGATTCCCTTCAGTCCATTCAGAAATGCATCAATTCCCAATATCCCAATGTCAAACAGGAAGAGGTGATCTGAAGTTGCAACCTGCATTCAAAGCCATCAAATACCAAATTGAACAGCATATAGATTTTTTACTTATTGATGGAACAAGCCAACTTACAGCAAAAAGCTGAGCTTTGTCACTCCGACATCGTATGTGTCCCTCCAACGAAATTCCAATCTCATCTTGCTTGCTCAAGTAATCAATTGCTGATATATAGACATCATCACAGTCAGTTATAATCATCCAATCCACATCGTCATTAGATGTAACTGCAACATAAAGAAGCAAACTTTTGTCACATTCCTCTTTGAGAAGCTCCCAATTCAGAAAAAAGATTTTTCCTATTCACTAGCATTTGAAGACTGCCTCACGGCATCTGGTTCCTGATCATCCTTGGCATTGCACTCCGTTACTGCAGATAAAAATGGAATAAAAGTTTCATTTGGAAAATCACAGATAAAAGTACAGGTTGTATTGAAATGATGCATTCATAACTCACACAATAGAATATCAGACTTGAGAAAGGTCTGAAGGCCTGGTATCTCCTTCCGTGATGGCAGGACCACCACCTTGCCTAAAGTGATCCGCTTGGGTGATTTGGAAAGCAGCTTCCCACGATATGTGCCTTCTCTTGTCCTCAATTGGATGATTGAGTCATCTTTGAGGTCATCATTCATCTCTGGTTGACTACATCCTATGGGCCATGGTGCTGAGATCAGAGGACCATGATCATTGCATGGAGCCAGCTCTTGCTTCTGATTCTTCCCCATCTTGACTTCTTCCTCTTCTCTTGCACATGATCACTATTCACTAAAGTACATGATACTTGATCACAATACTGCATCGATTCCTTATTCAAGACAATGGAAATAATGGAACATAAACAAACATCTGGGAACAGCTACCCCCTGCTGGAGAGTGCAATCCACTTCCACAGGTGTAGAAAAAGTATGTCATAAACCTTATATGAATCCATTTTGCAAATGAAAGATCTCAATGACTTCAACAAAGTGGAAAAACCACTCAAGGATATCAATAAAAAATTATTCACTGGGCAGCATCAACAAGACCATCCCAAAAGACTAGTCATAGCAGCCAGACATCAAATAATACTAGCAACAGAATTGTGTGAAGCACAGTGATCCCTTATTTTCTGCATGAGATATGGAATCTTCTCATAATCTAGAAGCTGAGAAAAGGCATGAAGGGAAACAGGAACAACAACCAGTCCCTCTTTTTCCAGAAGTTGTATCATCAGTGATGTGATGCCTTTCATCCTCTCAATATTTCGAGCCATTTGATTTGGCTTCAGCACCAAAAGGGCAACCCTGCAATAGATAGGGGAGAGCATTTCCACTAACTGCATTGTCAATAAGTGATGCAATAATAAGAAAATGAAACTTTTCCTCACATTTTCCCATCCAGAGGCAGAATAATATCATCCAAACTCTCAGGATAAGAAGTACCTGACTTCTTTGTGTCCTGAGTTGCACTTGTAATGCTCACTGGATAATCCCCTTTTCTCATCACCACCACATGATCTATGAAGGCAATGTATGCCCAACTTTTCACAGTCAACACATACAAACATGTGCCTTCAATAATAGGCAGTCTAACCTACCAATCAGGAAACCATGCTGTGTGAACACCTTGGTACAGACATAGGAAGGACCACCCATGGCACTTTCAATAGCCCCCTTGAGGGGAAATTCTCCATCATACTTCTTCAGGATGTTTTGAGATGCAGAGAGGAGGTTTTCATCTGGAAGCGGACCGTTGTATTCACTGCGAAAGCATTTCACTGCCCTCCAGAGTGTTAGCAATTCAAAATGCCTCAGAGGATCCTTCTCTCTTGTGACTGAATGAGATAATGCAAGATAAATAGAAATGTATGTAAATTCATTCTCACACAGCTTTCGTTCAGAAGGAAAACCTACGGAGATTAAGAGATGTAGGGGAGAAGGCTCTTGAAATGAGGACATCTGAGGAGAACCCTAAGGCTGCAACATCACAGTTTACCTTGATCCAGGGATAGCTTGCCAGGTCCTTCTCTTCATTCTCCTACGTAAATGAACCAAAGCAAATTAAGAGAACAGATAAAATAATACCAAACAATTCAGTTCACCAACTGTACCTGAGCAGCATGGAAGGAATCCATAAAAATTTTAAAAAGTCTTTCTAGATCATGGGGTCGTTCACAGGCTCCAGACAATGCCCTCACAGCAGTGAGAACATGTGAGAATGGCACTGATTTCTTTTCATTTTCTGAGATGATCAGTGAAGTTATGTAGTGCAGGAAGGGTGGATGAACATGGCTCTGAAAAAGAACAATAAAGATTATGATAATTTCTAGAATTAAAGCATAGTGTAAATGCATGGATGAATAGCTGTGATTTTTTTGGTAGACAACTATAAGTATAACATGCAGTTCCTGGTCTTTCAAGGGTTTTGCTTCGACAGAAATCTAAGTACAAAATACTTGGTCTCATTTCCATGAGAAGGGTCATGCAAAAACAAGCAAAGTGACCAGATCTTGAGACTTACCAGGCTCATCAGGAACCTTGTCATCTCAATACACTCAGACACTCCCAATCTCCTCTCCACTGCAAGGGAGCAAATATTGTCACAGATTTCCTCATGATACACTTCTTCATTTTTCATCTTGTGGACTCCTAAAGCCATCTTCTTCAATGTAATTATCATTTGTGCAGGGGATATGGAGTTCACTTCATCTGCAATTTGGTTCTGTACAAATGCAAGGAGAGAGAGAGCAGCATCCAGACTCCCCCGATAGCTGCATAATGACCAAAAAATGCTGACTGCTGTTTCAGGTTCCATTTCTTCCTGGCACCGTAGGAGTCTCAGCACTGTTCGCTCGAACACATCACTGGACATGTTACTCTGAGAGATGAATTGAAGATACCTTGCTAATTCTGCACAATTGTCAGAGTCTAACTGGTAATCTGCTTGTGATTGGAACACAATTGGAAGAGCCAGTCTGAGGGCATCGACCAGAGGACTCCTGCCGAGCCTCTCTAGTAGCAGGCTTGCAAATGCTACTTCAGACAGGGTGAGTTCATTCACTTGGTGGCTGAGCAATTTGAGAAGACCCTGCATGATGGTAGTACGAGTTGGGACACCCAAAAAACTCATGCACTTGATCAAGGTGAGAACATCCTGCACTTGATAAAAGCGGGCCCTCTTGTTCAACTTCGTGCAGAGCTGGACGAATGAGTCCTGGGTCATCAACTCACTGCCAGTGGATGGCAGCCTGAAATGTGATCACAATAAGTAAGTGGGAATGATTAACCCAGTATTTGCTAATGTAAAGGAATAAGAGACTCACTGTCCATCTCGCTTGAGATTAGCAAGCTGCTGAAATGTAAGGAGCAAATGCTGGTTGTTCATGACAGAGTAGTGCTGTGCAGCAAGCCCCATGATCCTGCTGAAATTCTTAGCAGACTTGAGTTGTTGCATCAAGAGATCCTCTGATCCAGCTGCTGGTTTCTCCAGCCCCCCTCCTCCAGGCAGCACGATGTCCTTCCCAGTGACTACAGATAAATATAAATAAAGAATTCGAGTTTTCTATGCTTCCTCCAGATCAAGCCATTAGTCAGCAGTCCTTCAACATACCATTGGAGTAAGGGGAAATTGAGTCAATCCTGCAGCATAATATTCTATAGAGAGGGAGATGAGTCTTGAAAGCAACTGCAGGGGATAGAGCTCTGAGACATAGTGGGAAACCTCGACTGAAAATTGTCCTTTGGAACACCATAATCCTCTCTCTATCTTCCTGATTATCATGCAAATTTAAATTCACTCATAGTTTTGAAGAACCATGCATTCTTCACCTGAAAGAGGGAACAAAAAAAAAAACAATCAAATTAATGGCTCAACTTTACAAATAGCACTGAAAGCAATAACCATACAATACATCCATTATTGTCACTCAGATAAAGCTTCTATAGGAAAACCATTAGCCTGAATAGCAAAATTATTATGTCACCCATTTGACCATGATGAGGTCAGCATCAGTTCAAGATGCAGGTGCAAACTATTGCAAAAAAGCAGTTTTCCAATTTGGAAATCCTGAACCAAAGATCTTAATGCCATAGACACTGATTATTATAACATCTTTCATTCTGCAACATAGGCACATGGCTACAGAGATGATAAATTCACTTGATGTTGACACCAGTCAATGACGGAGCCTTGACTAGACCTAAACCCTCAACTTCAAATGGAACCCCTTTGTAAGTGGCAATGCAGGAAGAATCTGTCTTCAAATCAGGAGCAACCTGCTCGAAAATCTTTTTCTTGGGATTCAAGACAGAAGGTGGACAGCAGTTATAACCTTTGAAAATGACTTTTTGACCAGGTTTGGACCCATCTGGAGGTGTCAAGATTTCCACCTTTTCAGGTGTTGAGGCACACATCACCATGGCTTCTGAAGTGATTCCTCTCATCTTAGCTGGCTTGAGGTTGCAAAGAACCACCACCATCCGATTAGCCATTTCCTCAATAGGAACGAATCTTACAAGACCACTAACAACAGTTCTTGGTTTCTCTTCTCCAACATCTATGGATTCCACATATAAAGAATCAGCATCTGGATGCTTTTCAACGCGTACAATTTTCCCAATGCGCAGATCAAGAAGCCCAACATGGACATCATCTTCAGCTGAGACTTTTGCTTCCTGAGGTTTCTCTGATTTATCAATCTCTTGTTTCTTCTCTTTTTTCTTCTTTTTCTCATCCCCACCAGATCGCTCCCCTGTTGTAGCCTTTGGGGCAGTAGGAGTTTTGGTACTCTGGGGTGTATCTACCTGCTGCTTAGCTGGGGGTGTTTTGGTGTTTTCATCTGTTGATGTTTTCAACACAGCAGCAGGTAAAGGCCCAATACCTAGTTCAGATCCTACTTTCCCTTTCATCGCCTTCACTTGCTGTTTCAAAGCCTCATTCTCTTCCTTCAGTCTCTGAATCTCCTTCTCAGCAAGAATACGCCCCAGTGCAACGACCTGAAGAAAGACATTGTACTAATTATGGCTTAGCACTGTTGTCACCATAAACTTATACACACAGGAATGGAACAGTCCCTGGATTACAACAGAAACCAATCCCAGTAATTACCAACCATGCCATTAGAACAGGATTTCTTGTTTTCATTTCCCTCCTCCAATACTATTCAAATTTAAGCTGACATCAATCTTTTAACAACTGTGTCTGAATATACCATGTTAGTTTCTTTAAAGAGTATATATAAAAATGCAGAATCATAAAGATTAACATTACATCAATAAGGAACAATAATAGGGATAGAACAAACGGTTGACTGACCTGCTCTTTCACTTCTTTCAGAATGGATTCACTTTCAGCAGCTTGCCTCTCAAGCCGATTCACATCGTCGGCCGGCTTAACGCCAACTGGAGCTTGAGGCTTCCCTACCATTGTCAAGCTGAGAGCACTCCGAATGGCACACTTCGACTGATGCTTCAAAAATAGTAGCTTTAAGGAAATCTGTCGAAAGTCGAAATGTAAAAGGCACGGCAGCAGGCGAAGGCCAGAGGTGGGGGCCACGTTCCAGACCATGTTGTCGGAAGTCCTAATTTGATTCACAGATGTGCCTCATAACATTCGCAAGATATCTTTTGAAAAAACGTTTCAACAGCTTTTCTTTCATGGTGCCGTTGCTAAATTGAGAAAATCTAAGTTTTACTCTCGTAACATGTAGGACGGCTCTAAGGGTATATAGAGGGCAACTCAAGGATGTAGTTTAATTTATTTAGCGCTATTAGTTCGACGTCAATAAAAATGTTGCTCTAGTCAAACTGCCTTTCGTTTGATTAGAAAACTACTTCATTAAGATGAGGATTGCAAGAAACTCGACCTGCCTAGCATGTGCTTGAGTCAATGAAAACTAATTAGGCCAATTCGAAACACCTTAGCATCCCTGGGCACACGTGGTGTTCCGTCAATGTGAATCTGCCCTGAAGTGGAAGTGGCGGGACAACTTCCAGCTGTATTTTCAAGTTTCGGTTCGGAGGACTGGAGGCTCTTTAATACCTGCTTGGCTCGTTCGAAGGAAGATGTCGACTACGCAGTTGAGAAGCAAAGTCGTGTCCGACTTCAAAATGCATGGACTGTCTCTTAGAGGGTGAGTAATTGATATGAACTTTCTTAGCCTCAAATCCTTCAATACCCTTCTGCCTGTCCTCGAAGATAGTGTAATTCTTCAGGTAGCCCGCAGAATGTAATGGTCTAATTCGTTTCTTGCTGGGTTTATACTAGGAACAATCACAGCTGAGGATCAGGCAGGCTTGGTTCATGGCCTGAATGCAAAATTGACAATGCTATATGAATGTGCATTTTTTTAATTATTATATTATTCATCTCTTACAGATGGTCTCCCATTGAGTTATGCTAATCTGCAAAAAATGGCAAAAGGATATATTCAAACTGATGCACAATATGCTGTCATTTCACCATCACAAGCCCTTCTCTTTTTTGTAGGGATGCAACACATCTCCTGGTTCAGTTCCTACAATCTGAATCAGAGACACGAAGAAATCAGTGGCTGGAAAGGTTAATTGAGAAGATCCAGGGCCTTGGGCTCTCCCGTCCAGTCGTCGGGAAGGACGACTTGAAAGCCGCCTTGGAGGAGTGTGTGAATGCAGAGAGTGCAGGAGAGGAACTTCTGTTGGTTATTGATGCCTTCACAGTCCCAAGATTCACATATGTGCCTGAGAGGAAAAAATATGTGGCCGATTCGGTGCTCGGAAAGACGATTCCATCACTGCTCGGTGATTCTGATGATAAAGCCAGCATCTTCGTGAAGAGGTGAGTTATGCAGGATCCCCAATTCCATGAATAGTTCAGCCTAATATCAGTTTCATTTTCCTATTTTGTAGGTACACGATATTGTATGAAAGAATGTCCCGTCATGAACTATTTGCACCAGCTGTGATTGGATCTTCAAAGGCAGAAGGACCACGATTCACTCTGAGGAAAATTGAGTATCTTCTGGGAACAACTGAAAAGCTGGATAAGGTCATCATTTTGGGAATGTTGACCCAACTCAAAGAAGGAAAATTGTATTTAGAAGACCCCACTGGTGCAATTGAGCTTGATCTCTCTGAAGCAATATCCTTTCATGTTCTACTTTTTTTCTGATTTTAGGTTGCTGCTATTTATGTGATTCTTATTGCCTTTGTGACAACTTTGACTCCAAAGCCTATGTTTATCTTTTTGGCTGTTAAGAATTATCATCTGTAGTTATTGATCCTTGACTCCTGTGCACAAATTTCATACTGGACTCTTCACAGAGAACTGTTTTGTTCTCGTGGAAGGAGAATACATCGGAAGTAAGAAAATCCTCAAGGTGATCACATTGGGCTCCCCTCCTGCTGAACCTATTGAGACATCTAGGTACTATACTGATATTTCGTATCATCATAGTAGTAATTTTTACTTTCATGCTTTGACTCCTTGGAAGAACGCCACATTCATGATCTCGTTTACCCAGGAGATTCCTCGGAGATATGAATTTCTTTGGAGGTCCCAGTGCTAAAAGCTTGAGAGGATCAGAGAAGCTGAAGCTTGTTGAGGAGAGGAATTCTGAGGCAATCTTTGTCTTTCTCTCTGATGTGTGGCTAGATCATCCTGGGGTAAGAGATTCACCACTTGGCATGTGCACTTTTTGAGTGATGCTTGTGGTAGTGGAGCAATTTAGCTCAAGTAACAGTTGTTGTTTTAGAACATCTTTCCTTCGTGGTTTCCATGTAACTGATTTCAATGTGAATGTTAAAGAACAATGACAGAAAGCAAATGGTGTCTGAAAGATAACCTCCACAATTGGCTCTGATCCATTCCAAGAATTCTATTTGCTACATGAGCTGTGAAGATATTGTGTTTGGTAATGGGATCTGCATTTCAGTGAAACTTACTGACTAAAAAAAAAAAAGAAAATAAGGCTCAAATGAGATTGTATAATATCACAAGCTGAATTAGTTGGTGACAATGATTACATTTGGACCTTAGCAGCTGGCAGTCACTATTCTATACTATGGGCCTGCAATGAAATAGAAAGAATTTGAATCTTGATTAAAGGAGGCTTGAGGTCTCCCAATATTTTCAGAGAAGTCAAGTTAACTGGTAGAGATTCCTGGAGTGAAATAGCTGTGGCTTCTTCTTCAGGTCATGGAGAGACTTCAAACCCTCTTCCGAGGCTTCAGTGATTTCCCCCCTGTTGCCTTTGTTTTTCTGGGCAACTTTTTACATGCATCATATGGAATGGACCAGGCCAAAGAACTCAGGGATAAGCTCAAGCACCTGGGCTACATTATCATATCTTACCCTCAGCTTGCTCAAGCTTCCAAGTTCATTTTTGTGCCTGGTCCAAAAGACCCAGGTATAGGGGGGCTGCTTCCCAGGTAATCCTCATGATAGTATTTATTGTTACTATGTATCAATAGCAAAAGAAATAAAGTTTCTGACTTGCTTCACACAGGCCCATGCTTCCTGAATTCGTAACTCAAGATCTAGCCAAAGATGTTCCCAATGCCATCTTTGCAACCAACCCATGTCGCATCCAGTACTGCACAAAGGAGATTGTGGTACTCAGGGAAGATGTATTGTCGAAAATGTGCAGGCATTGCATTTACTTCCCATCTTCTGGAGGAGACATTGCTGAGCATGTAAGACTTTCAGTTTTCAGAGATCACTTATTCTTTTTAAAGAAACCATAATGTAAACAACTTCACTAAAAAATTAATCTCTTATTAGTTCTTGTAGTTGACTTGTAATTTTATCTCTATGTAATGCTTTCCTTGCTAAATGAAGTTAATTTAGCCAGGAGTGCATTTTCCAGAATTGAAGAATGGAGATGGAGTTTTTTGGGAATGAACAACATTGTATGTTGGCTGATTAACCTGGTTGATGCTGATGATGAGAAATCATGTCCTAGACAGATTTGCAGGTTTAATTATTAGAATATATAAACATTTTCTTAATTACAGAATTGGGACTCGGTTGTCCCTGCTGAAATGTAGGGGATTTCTTCCATTTTTTTTGCTTATTATGCTTTTATTTATATGCTGCATTTTTGCTAAAATTCTGACTGCATCAGTTACATAATGTTTCAATATTTCTGATCTAGTTTGTCAAGACAATCTGTGGCCAAGGACATCTTTGCCCTATGGCTCCTCATGTGAGCCCAACACTTTGGACATCAGATCATGCTCTCAACCTCTTTCCTCTTCCTGACCTTGTTGTCGTTGGAGACAAATTCAAGTCCTTCACTGAGAGTCACATGGGCTGCACCATCATCAATCCTGTATGAAACAAATCCATTCCCTTGTATTTATTATTACTGTTGAATAGTTTCCCACAGGATTTTGCTTCACTCATTAAACCAGGCTGTGATGCTTTGTGAGGAAGAGGAAGCTCCTTTGCAAAGCAGGTCACCAGGAAGACAAGAACAAGTCATGGTGACCTGCCTGCTTAGCTATAAACCCTGTGTGTAACCTTGCAGACAGTTTGGGGATTTTTCATGCCAAGAAACAGAAAGAAATGAGTGTTGCTCTTGTGACAGAAACTATCAGAATGAAATATAATACTTCCATTGATAAATCAGTTGTCAAAAGTCAAACACTTGGAAAATATATTCTATTTACTGTAGTTAACTCAATGTCTCTTTTAAATGACACCAATAAATACACCAGTGTTATAGTGAGCCCCATTGAAATGGAGATGGATTGGTTGAGAAATTATATGAAATATTTGAGAGCATTTTTTTTCTTCATACAGGGGACACTACCTCGGAATGAGTTCCTCTTCAAGGTATATTATCCTGTTACCGGTCAAGTGGACGACAGCCAGATTAGTAACCTCCACACGTGAATGTGATACAGTCCTATTTTGAAGGAGATGGAAGAGTGAAATTCTGTGCATCCTATGTGACTTTTATGTTGATGATGTTTTCATGGGTGAATGAATAAAGTGAAAGAAAAGATAGCAATTGTATTTAGTGCCTTTCTTTTTTATCATATTCTGCTATTTGTAATTTGATACAGTCAACCCTCGATATACCGCCACTCTCGCTTAGCGCCAACTCTTTCCTGAGAACGAATCTACCCCATAGGCTTATCATTGGCTCTCCCCCGTTATAGCGCCACTCTCGCAAGCCGCCATCCGCCAATACCTTGCCTTGCACAAACGTGCCTTATTCAATGTAAGTCGTACTCGATATAGCGCCAAGCAGCATACCGTACCAGTTACAATGATTATACCATGCACTACCGTGGTGGAAAAAATATGACATGCTGTCAGCCTTTCCTTTTGGGCGTTTGATAACGAGATTGTGAGGGATGACTTAGCTTTGGCACTGACGCCAGGGATTAGAGGGGGGCGCAAGGAGTCTCTTAATCTGACCTAATCCTGCCTCTCCTTTTCTTTCTTTTGGAGAATGTCTCTTTCGGTTCAAAGTTTCTCTAGACGATTGCTCAAGTGTGTTCATTAAGTGTATTAAGTATAAGTGTGAAAGAAAAAGTGGAAGTGTGTCGCTACAAGGAGGCACATGCGGTCGAAATCAGCAAAACATTGCGAATAATTTTTCTAAGCTGTGTAGCTTTTCTTCTCCATTGGCAGCATGGATGAATTAAAGAGATTTATTTTGTTGCCAATTCTATTTTACATTTGAGTTATTTCGAAAATTTTACGTTTTACAGCCGCGCATTTCGATATAGCGCCAAAATCGGTGTAGACCAACAGTGGCGATATATCGAGAGTTGACTGTACTGTCTTATGTCTTCCAAAAAAAAATAAGAACTTGGAATCTAATAAAGATTTTATGATATTAACTCTCAGGACAGGCACACAAAGAAAGGACCGACAAGTTAAAACAGGAGTTAATTCTTGATGAACTTTGCAGTAGACGCAAAACCATTGTGCTCGTCGAGTGAAGGTAGAATGTGACGTGATGAATTATTTCCTGTCCCGAATCGATGAACCATCAACATAGATGCAACGTCTGAATCTCTCCCTGTAATCAATGAGTCAGGCCATGGCTGACACCAAAGGGGAAGCCGAGCCTCCTCACTCAAACTGTCATGTGAGGCGTGATCGAGATGACAAAACATAGCCATCTAGGAACAGGAAGGATGCAATATCGTGCTAATAAATGCATATGCTATCATTTCGTTAAACACGAAGTGAAAGGCATATATTTTTGCGGCAAGGATGCGCGCAGTCGGCTCATGAATCCACAGTCCCTCATAATCCTCCCCAAACCGTGGGAATATCCACCCAGTGGAAAAAAAAAACTCGATTCAAAACACGGACAATATGCGATGCCAGCCTATTTCCACACTGACCTGGCAAACCGCAGCCCCGAACCGCGTTCCCAGCCTTGCTCGCTCGCCCGAGCGGAAAAGTGCTATGTCGGATTCTTCTTCGAGATGAGCTCAGTGGTAAGAGAAGCGAACCGGTTTATATAAAAAAAAAAGCAGAACCCAGGTGGTCCAGGATATAACAGAGGGATCAATACCATGTTGATCATCGAGAGCCTCCCACTTACGAAACTCGATTCGAACGCGAAAAAAATGTGAATGAAAGTGAGCGCTCGGGATTGATGGTAAACAGTCCATTAATAACGTGGCGCCGTTTTGATGAAAGCGTGAGGAGAATGGAGAAACGATTGCGATGAGAGACCATGATCTCCTCATTAATTAAAATTAATTTTTTTTTTTTCGTTTTCCAATATAATCTCGTCCTCGATCTGCTCCAGACGCCTTTCCGTGGAACTCAAATCGTTCGCACTTGCGAGTTTCCGCGCGCTATCGCCATGACTGGAAATTCGGAATAAATAGCTAAATATTATTACCAAGCACGGAAGAAAACGAGGCGCAACGTCGCCCCCCCCCCCCCCCCCCCCCCCCCCCCCCCCCCCCCCCCCCCCCCTGGAAGAAAACGGGGGGCACCGCCCCCCCCCCCCCCCCCCCCGACCGATATCGGCGCCCGATCGACATCGACATATCGAAGCGCCTCTAAAAAGGTTCGTGTCGCAGGCATACGAGGACGGAAAAATAAAATAAAGATCACCTCTCGGGTTTCGACACTCCCTATCGATCGTGCGTCGACATCGGAAGACATGCATATCTATTCTCTCTTATCACAGCTCCAGAAAAAAAAAAAAACAGTCGACGAAAGAGCACCTTTTTTCCAAGTTGGAACCGAGCCACATTCAGGAGGAAAACAAACAAAAAAAAATCAGGAACGAGAGAATCCAGGGAAATTACACTTGCACCTCCGACATGCTCCCTCGCATACCAAAGGGCAGCGGGTCGAAGGGAACTCAAGGTCGACTCCTCAAGGTCAATATTTCGCGGAATGTCCACGAGCGACAACTTCCCCGCCTTTCAAGTCCGCCTCGGGTCTTACTTTTAAAACACACAAGAAGTAACAAAAAAAAAGGAAAAAAGCAATTTTCGGCCTCGCGAGGGCGAGCTCCAAATTCACCTCACCTTTGCTAAGGGCCTGATGACGAATTTATCGTTCCGACACGGCGGATTTGGGGTCTGCCATTTTGTGCTGAATGTTCTGAAAGTACAGGGCGTTTCATTTAAATTGTCCAATAATTTGGCAAAGGTTGCTCTATATTGTGGTCAAATTTCGTAAAGAACGGTTGCGTCCTCTCAGAGATATGAGCGTTCAAAGATGTACAGAGTTTAATCGCAGCGCCATCTATTGAGTTGAAAGACCGATTCTGACAAAACCTCTGAAACCAAGATCTTATCAACTTGATGAAATCTTTNAACCACTTCCAAAAACTCCCCATGGGATGAACGACGGCTACCTCCACGTTGGTTCATCCTGGGTAACGCTAAAGCCGTCATAGCCTTGCGCCGTAGGCCTCATGCGTCAGGGCGATGGTAACAGGGGCTCAGGCCAAAACATCGGAAAAATCCATGGCATTCGGAGTATTAAGTGTAAGCGGATGGGTTAAGTGGCTAAGGTTTGACGATTGATATCTTAGTAAGGAGATGAGATACAATCATGAAATTTTCAGCACCACTGGATCAAGGCATTATCTAACGAATGATGAGCTTTAAAAGATTTCATCAAGTTGATAAGATCTTGGTTTCAGAGGTTTTGTCAGAATCGGTCTTTCAACTCAATAGACGGCGCTGCGATTAAGAAACTCTGTCCAATAATTTGGCAAAGGTTGCTCTATATTGTGGTCAAATTTCGTAAAGAACGGTTGCGTCCTCTGATATATCATATCTCTGATATGATCATATCGCTCATATCTCTGATGAGATATGAGCGTTCAAAGATGTACAATTTAAATGAAACGCCCTGTATATCAAATAATTTAAATAATAATAATAATATAATAATTTTAAAAGTATTTATTTTGAAATAAAATAAATTACTTTTTGAACAAATAAGAAATAGAAAACGTTCAAGCTTTCTTCAAAAATGTAACTTCCCCCCAAATTTTATCCTGCACTTCACTTGAAGATCGCGCGTTGGACTTGGCCCTGGCCGTGTCGACGCTCTTCAGCGAGACCGCTCCCGCCGATCGCTGCGAAATTCGCGGGGAACGTCGAATGCGTCTCGAGAAGCGACGGTAATCAATAAATATCGCCGTTTTCATTACCGCTGGTGCAACTCGATGGGAAAAAACACTCCGCCGCTTTTCTTTTTGCGAGAGAAATGAAACTCGAGTTAATCCTTTTTCTGTAATTTTATGAAATAATTTTAGAAATTATATATCTATAAATAAAAAATTTAAATTCCTGAACGGGATTTCGAGAGTTGGAGGAGCATATAAATCATCATTAATCACTAATTATTTCAGCCAAAGCCGGGTAGTCCGAATTTTAATTTTTTTATCTCCGCCTCAACGCACGCAATCCCCCTTGAAAACGATGCAAAAACAAAATCAACATTCCCACAAAAAAACCCGGAAATTTCGCCGGTCGAAAATGAAATGCATCACGAGTGCATCGCTCCACCCCTTTGTCGGAAGGCTTTGAAACGAGATCTATTTATAGATTCCCCGCTCATCTTCGTGGGGTTGTTGATGCCATCCCATCTGATATGGTTAGAGGGCCGCGAGTGCTCTAATTTATGGCGCCGATTACGGCCGGCGATCGATAAGAGAACCGGTAATTTGGGAAGTACCCCGCCGATATTTATGGGGTCATTCGAGCGGAGAAGACAAAAAAAAAAAGGTCACGGCTCAGATCAGGAAGATCCCGGCCCGGCCGAGTGACAATAGCAAGCTTTACGATGCATCGAAGCCGGGAGTGGAGCTCGATCGTTAACCACAAATGTCCTCATGAATTAGCGAGCGTCCAGCCGAACCGAATCGAGCGATCGTTCGAAAGGCGCCGGAGCCTAACAATGCCGATCGTGTTCTTAGCCCGGCTCAACCTAGCGGAGGAAGCACGAAGCAGAGCCTATCATCTGCTCGATTGTTGAACGGTGCGGGCATTCCGCGAGCGCTCTCCCGCCGGCCTCCACCGATCACAACCTACTGGGAAATGGCGAGGACAGCATCACTTTTTATGCAGGGGATTGGGTGGGCGCGGGCCCAGAGACAAGGGGGGCGGCTGCGGCTCTTCTCCCTCCCTTCCACCCTCCCCTCAATCAATATGGCAACGTCCTGCTGAGAGCGGGTCTCTCGCTCTTTCTCGAGACTCGATTTCAAATTGCGTTCCTCTCCCGTATCATGTGACGTCTTCTGTCCGTCAGCGATCGGTTAGTATTCGTGCTATTTCAATTCATAATAGTGTTCACCGAGTGCCGGATCGGCCTTCGTTAATCGACTAACTTTGGATTGACTTCGAAGGTAACGTTTTTCTATTCATCGGAGGCTCCTTTGAATTAAATGCGAAGAAAATACGAAAAAAGCCTTTTCTT